GAAATCTTGAATTTTGCACTAGCAGAAAATAACACAGTTCCACTTTACCACGTAAGTACATAACGAAAAATGCTATTTAATTTTTATTTATTAATTTTGTTGATTACATGGAAAATCATTAAAGCATTTTCCTTTAAGGACTGATAAGATATAAAGGCATATTTTTTTTACTCTATATTTTAATACTGTGTTTTGTGGTCCAAGAATTTTCATAATGCTCATATCAAGACAGCTTTCACAGAAGAATAATTTAGACAGATGGAAAAATGCATAGCAAGCACCACTGGATGTGAGATGAGATGCTTTACGTAAGATAGTGCATTTGACCTTTTTCTTTTTTTTTTTTTTTTTTAATGACTCATAAGGATCTCAAGCTCTGATAACAATTATAAATTACTTAAAGTGACCATGTATCTAATTTAGTCAGTATGTCTTTTAAAAACAGACTTAAGCTTATTGTTTAATTGTGATACCATGACTACAGTCCAGTAATATGAATTTGTTCATTATAATAATACAGAAAACATTTTGGAGTGAAAACTGTGGATTGCCACTGGCCTGGAAGCAATAAATTTGGAATAATTGTGTCTCCCAGATGAACAGCCAGTTCTCATAACTACAATGAAAAAGTTCCCGCTACTGTCAGCTAGTACAGAATTTTGGTGTTGCTTCAGATGACTAGAAATGAATAGCCTTTCAGAGATCAATTTCATTATTCATACTTTGTATGTGTATCTTGCCTTCTTCATGGTCCTACCATTTCAGAGCAGACCATTCTTTTGATACCACAGAGTGGAATCTTCAAAGGTTTGGGGGCTCAAATCTTAATGAATTCAAGGCAGTTTTACTAAAAGAGCAGATTTCTTCCCCACAGTCAATGTGGAAGTTTCTTAGGGTGTATTTATTTTCTAATCTTGGTGAACTTCCTTTTAGAAGTAGTAGAAGAAAACACAGGTTTTGTAGCAAGTTTCTTGATACTCTTTTGCATTTGGGGGCTTTGATGGTGTTTCTCTCCCTAAGCAAAATCTTGGGAAATTATTCTATTTTCATCAAGACTGAGAGGTGAGTAAGCTTTGCCTAAGGGGATACATTCAAACATAGCCTGCTATTCATCTCTGTTTCCTGAAAGCTGCCAGAATTTGATATTTTGAAGATCAGATATTTTCCTTTTGTTGTGAGGAAAATGTAAGTTTCCTTTTCCTATGCCAATGAAACTTAGCATTTTTTAAAAACATAGGGTTTCCCCAACTTTGGAGAAAGTCAAGTAGTTTATAAACCAAAATATATGACTGTCTGTGGACAGTTGTTTCTTGCATCTGTAAACTCTTACACAGATTACTGGGATCAGAGAGTCAAAGGAAAAGGATTTCAAATCCAGAGAAAAAACTGTCATCATCTAGTTTGTTAGGAGTGAGAAAATCATTGTGCAAATCTGCAAAAATAAAACAAAACAGCGTGTCATAACTCTGCAAATGTTTCTCTGTAAAGACTCCCATTGGAACAGTGAAAGTCTTTGACTCACCTGACTTCTGAAGAAAGGGAAATGGGTTATGTGGGGTAAATTGCTGCTGAGTTTTAAATAATGATAGTTGCTGGTTAAGTTCCGAGGCCTGTTGTCATACCATTTATCATCATCAAAGCAACCTCATTGCATTCCTGTTTAAGGCTAATATGTGGTACATATGCACACTTTTCCCAACACAGTCATATAAATGTTGTGTTCTGAACAGCAATTTGCCATTTTGCCAAAAAAAAAAAAAAAAAAAGCACGTCACAGAAGTATTATTTCATTTTAAAAACTGCAGTATTATACTATGCAGTTATAAATAATTATTGACCTTTTTTTTCTGTAGATCAAGGTGAGTAGGAGCAGAATTCTTATGCTGTGGCTTTCATTTTGTATTAAAAGAACAATATCATTTTTAAACAAAGATACTGACCTAATATAATATTGCAGGATAACAGAAGTACGAAAACATAATCTAACATAACATGTCAGCTTTAAAGGGTTTGAATGTAATGGTGGTAACTGAAGAAAAAAGGCATCCTTATCATGGGAGCACATAACATTACATTCTGTGGTTGGTCTACACCAAAAGACCGTTCAGTAGCACTCACATGAAGTCTATTACAATGTGTGCTTACTGCAGAGGATGATACCTGGAAGAGTCACTTGCAGACACAGTGGTGTAAATTCTTCTACCAGTCTAAGTGTTTCAAAAAGCATTTGAGTCACAACTTTGCAGTTCTTCAGGAGAGAGTCAGAGGAATCAAAATATCTCAAGCACTCAGTCAACTGCCTTATAAGTATATGAGAGGAACTGAGTCAACAAAGATACAAGAGTTGCTGACACGGGTTTTCTGGGTTCTTGCCAGTATAGGATCATTTTTATGAATGAAGTCTTTCCACTTTGAGTATTGAAAGAATTCTGAAAAGTGAAGCAAAAAATTGTGAAAAATAAATACTCAGAATGAAAATTTTAAGTATCAAAGAACATTTAATGACATTTTGACAGAAAAAGAAAAATATATTTCTATCTAGAATTAGAAATTAGGGTTTAAGTAGATCACGTTTCCTTCATGTTCATTTATTTATTTATTTATAAGTATTTCAGTGTATTTATTTAGGTGATGAGATTTTATTCAATTGAGAATTTACGATTAGTAAGACTTAACAGGAGATACTTCAGAGCTTACATAACCAAATTACTGTTAAACAGTTGTTGCTAATTCCTTTTTTTTTTTTTTTTTTTTAAATAATCATATCTTTGATTCATCTTAACTTTCCAATTAATTTCTTGTCTTTTGCTTCTTCTTGGATATTGGGAGGCAGAAGACAGAAGCAGTTTGTTTTCTTATGAAAGTCAAAACTACAGAACTGTTGTAGTCAAATTTCCATCTATGTTTAACATATGTCCAGAATTTGAGGATGGAGATCAAAATTTTAATCCAGGCAAATGCTTTGGAAAATTGAGATAATAATGAAAGATAAGAGCTCCATCAACTTCCCTCAGTAAAAATGATTGTGTCTTGTGAGCAAACAAACGCAGCACGATGAAAAGAGAAACTTGAGATCACAGAATCACAGAGTGACCTGGGTTGAAAAGGACCACAATGATCATCCAGTTTCAACCCCCTGCTATGTGCAGGGATGCCAACCACCAGACCAGGCTGCCCAGAGCCACATCCAGCCTGGCCTAGAATGCCTCCAGGGATGGGGCATCCAAAGATAGATAGACACTATCATTTAGTCATTGCTTTATTCTTTAAGCATACTTACACAAATATACATACATTTAAAAGAGAGAAAAAAAGAGTTCAGATTACCAGGCATACATGTAAGAAGTTTTACAAAATCCGTAATTGCATATTGGCAGAATTAGTTTAATGCTTTGGAACTAATAGGGATTTGGAACCTAAAATTAAATAATCAGACTGATTTCATAAGCTGAAGTGAGGATGCAGAATTACTATATAAAATGGGTATATAGGTAGTATAATACTGGCTGTTTGCCCAACATACAAAATGATCTACAAAGCCATGATGCAGTAGAAATTACTGATAGGAAACACTGCCCATTTCACTATATATTTATTACTAACTTAGTTGGTAGGCAGTTCTGTGATGCACATCGCAGAAACTGAGGTAAAGTGAGTTACAATTAACAACGCTGTAATAATTAATGATAGATTACTTCTTAGAACATAACTTCATGGTTTTACTAATCCTCTTCTGTAGGGACATTTTTACCAGTTTAAACAGAAGTAATAAGGCATATGTAAATATCACAAAATTTTTTATATGTAATAGCATTGCTGAAATATTGTATAAAGTGCATTGTAATACACTCTGCACTTATAAGAATAGAAGTGAAATTTGAATGTATATATATATATTTATATTAATAGGTTTCATTCTGAACAAAATTAATTAAAACAACAACAACAACAAAACTATGAGATATATTTTTCATTCCATATTTTTTCACCATAAACCAAAAGGCAAAAGGTCTTGAATAGAGAACATTTTTCTGCCTTGAAAGTTTACTGCTCAGGATTTTAAAAATCTCTAGCAAACTCCACATTTTCTGCTGGTCAGTTCCATTTCACACTATGGGGATCAGCTCTTGTCTAAAAGAAATAATGGAGTTCTTAGTCCAGACTCAATCTGAAAATTGATATATTGTCCAACTTCATGGTTTTAATGCTTCAGATTTGAAGTTCCTTCTGAAGCTCTGAAATTCAATCCTTTGGATACTAAATTCTCGTGTAAGGTAATGAATGCCCATCTGTATTATTTGATGACAGATGTTCTGGACTATTGTCTACAAAGTAGCTGAGAATTTTGTTTTCTGGTATATATTAAGAAATTGGATTACAAACTGTTAAATCATTTAATTTTTTTGTGAATTAAAATTTAGTGTAAAAGACAATTTTTAAACAAATTTTAAGATATATTATTTCAATACAGCTTTCTCTACCTAGTAAACCAAATAATGGCTGCCATGGGGTAGTGATTGGGAATATTACAGCAGCAGAACCATTTTAAAGATAATCTGAAGCATTATAGTAGTGTAGGATTAGTCGTTGTTTCACAGTGATTGCTAAACTTGCTATTTAATTTCCTGCTGCTGATGACACAAAGTTGGCAGTTTATGCCTTTTTTCAGCATTGAATAATGTAAATGCTATCTGACTGTTCTTGGAACTGCAGAAGGCAGCTCCACAAAAGACATAAAATTCAGTGGTACATGCTGAGAACTAAAATGTACGCAGAAACAACGCAGATCCTCTTTTTTCTGTAACGTATGCATGCTGGAATGTGCCAGATGTTCCAGATGTTATTCTGGATGGTAAGTAGTCTGAGTACTACGATAAATACAATAATCAAGGTAATCTGGGAGAATCATGTATTCAGCTCCATATGACTGAAGAAGGAGTCTTTTATTGCCAATTTTGTAGGAAAAGTACTTCTATTTTATTTCTTCCTTTCTGTTGTTGGAAGAAAAAAAAAAAAAAGGTTGTCAACTGTCAAAAAAAATGAGTTTCTTCACAGGTAACTTCTATCTTTCCTTTTTAAGCATCTGAAAGGCGGAAAACACTCTATCCGTACTTTTGTGGTATGTTGAGAAATCACAATGAGGATGATTGCAAGGAATCTGTAAGATCAGAGAAACAAATGTGTTTTTTAGGTTCTGTAGCTTCAATCTGATTCAGTCCATTTCTAGTGATTGCATGCTAAGATTACTATGCGTTTGTACTGCATCTCTGTATCTTCACTGTGTACATGGAAGCTTGAACTAACAAGTATCTTGCTGGTGCTGCAAGAACCACTTTAAAATATGAATCTCCACTAATATATTTATTTTCAGTTCTCTTCAAACATAATTCTGTAAACTAACCTTTTTTCATAATCTATAAACATAACTCAAAATAGAAAAAGGCAATTTACAGTACCTCTTTCCATATATGCTCCTGTTATAACTGCATGTCTGCTGCTTTTCACAGTGTCAAGCCTTGATGGCGTTCCTTTAGCTTGGCATTTCCAACGTTTTTACCTTTAGTTTAGGGGTAAACTTTCCCTAAATCTACTCTTTGCTGCCTTGCCCTCCAGACAAATAGGAGATGCTTGCTCTGGTTCCCTCCCCTCATCTCAAAGTGTCTAGGGAAATAAATTAATAGGAAAAGTTTTCCTTTTTTATTAATACTATCCAAAGTCTGAGATACAGTAAAAAAAAAAAATCCTAATATATGAGGCTATCTTTATACAAGCATACAGCATGGTTTCATAAATAATTCTGCTGTATTAGTGAGGATTTTTATTCTACAATGTTCAAATGAACTCTACTGTTAATAAAAGATTGCAAATGAAGCATTCTTAACTTGTTGTATTCTCATAAATAAGCTGCTATTTGTGAAGCAATCAGAGTCCTCTATCTCCAGAAAGTCACCGCAGAGACGAGATATACTGTTATGTTATTCAGGCCGATGAATTTATTTTCCTTAATTTTTTGAAGCCTGTAGAAGTATTTATTATTTTGTTGATGTGCTTAAAGGATAAATTAACAGCCATTTGGATTGATCTGATTCAGCATGTGTTGATTAATACTAAACTGATGTTATTTCTACCGTAACTGGAATATTCTTCATCCAGAAGAATGCACAAAATGCAAATGTGTGAACTCATCTTCCTTGTGATACAGATATCATCTTCTGTTGTAAATGACCAAAAGATCAGTATGCAGGAAGCCAGCTGTTGTATGCTGAAGACACTCCTCTGAGTCTTCCTCTATACACACTGGGAGCCTTGGCTCTCATCCTTTCCCTTTTCACCTTCATAGATGGCTTCCAGGTGAGAGTCAAGAGACAGCATTGTTGGCGTGACAGAAAAAAAGATCAGTCCTCCATAGAGTAGGATCCTGGGTAGCCTGTTCCTTGATAAAAGGAGGGGAAAAGAACTGAATCTCTTTTCCTGGCCTGTGTAACTTCTTCGAGCTGCACTACATCTTTCCAACCTGGACCGCTCTTCTTCTTCCGCTTCCTTTACCTTTTCCATAAAATCTTGTGCAGGAAAATCACTGCTGAATATTTGTCTGCATGTCAAATTTTTTTAATTCCTCAACAGGAAAATATTTGTGCTTCTTGCCATTAGACTACATTCCATATCTAGCAGCATAATTTCATGTGATTGGGTTTCCAGCTGTACCAGGGCTCTGTACATTGACTTTTCAGAAGGAGCTGCAGTACATTTTTCATGTCTGTGATCTTTTATACCAACTTCAGTACTACTAGCCTAAAATTCACTCTATCTTGTAATTTTTCTGTAGTGAAATAGAATTCTGTTCTCTAAACTTTAGCATACAGTTCAAATGAGTGTCTCTTTAGCTGCTGTACATCTTGTGTAAAATTTAGATTGCTAGTATATAGCATTGCTAGTAAACAATTATTGTATAAAAAGCCCTCAATTTCTTTAGAGTGCTGTATTTATGCTTAGTTTTTGAAGAAATTAGATCTTTTATTTTGGCTTTTTTGTTTCTTTGTTGTCTACATCTTTTGATGTTCAGGTTCAACCTCCTTTAAATTTCCTTTAAAGGGGTGGATTGATGAGGAGAAAGAGACTTCAGTCAATGCAAAATACAGTTTGTCAGTTGCTGTGCTTTGGCCTTTTGTGGATTTTTTTTTTAACTTATTACATGAGAAATCGTTAGCCAAAGGACAGCCTGCTTTTAGATGCTCTCCTAGAGCACTTTTAAAACCTCATCTATGATCTGGGGTGTCATCTCTATTAGATGTTTTTCCTAAAACATTTTAAAATTTTGCTGCTATTACCTGTTATACACTTGTTATACACATTATATCCATAATGTAGAATATAATTAAAATTTCTGAGTGGATTTTTTTTTCTATCCTTAGTTACTTTTTCATCTATCACAATTTTTTTCAGCTTAAAAATTGAGTTCTTTGAATTTCACGTGTGTGTCTTGCACAAGATTATTTCCTGTCTCTATTATCTCACCCCTCAACAGGAGTGGAAGAAAAACCTCAAAGGCAGCTTTCATATTTTGCAGAGCATAATAATTTTGCAAACGTTACGTCTTCAGTGGCTTAAGCATCAGCTCACTGAGCTAGAGAGATAAATAAAGCCCCTGGCAGCACGGCTACAGTTTCATTTTTGAACAAGCATTCTGTAAAGAAATGCTTAGGATAATGAATATGTGAGTTCAGGAAGCAGCTGAAGAAGTAATTTTGGAGAGCATTAAATATTTGAGTATAGAAGAGCGGAGGAACAATATTTATTATAAAGGTAAAGGAAAACCTTTTATTTTGCTTTTGAATATATGCTATAACTAGATGGAATATATTTCATTTGGTCATTGTAATTAGTAACTTTCATTATCAAGATATTCTACTCTTCTCCACAAGTAAACAAGTAAACAGTGACTTTTAAACACCTTCATAGTGTCTCTGCAGCTTTTTTTTCCTGTGATTTTATATAATTTCTTCACTTATTTTTCAATTATTTATAGAAATTTCAGGTCAACAGTTGTTGAGTTATTGCAGGTACAGACCTCATTCTCCTTCTATTTCTGCTTATGCAAATCTGAAGTAGATCCACTGAAAATTCTTGGAGCTACGTGAATACAAAGCTGACTTGAAAGAAGGCCAATAGTTGCCAGTGACCTGAATTTCACAGTGTTTGTGCTTTATAGTATGTGGCAGCATGGCGAGACTTGTTCTTCGTGAGCCTCCCACGTGTCTGCTACTCAGGAATGTGACTTTTTAGTATGATGAATAAAGTTTAATTTGAGAACTAGGCCAAGGCAATTTGTTTTCCACATAACAGGAATTTAAGAAGAAACTGCTCACAAAAAAGATGCATAACACTGATGAAATTGCAGATAGAAGTCTGTCATATATGTGACTGTAAATATGTGTGCGTGCAATTGAATTGTACAAGGAAATTAATTGTAGCCATGTACACATTTATAAAAATGTCAGTGTGGGTTTTGCTGGTTTTACATATATGCTATCAGAAATCCTTTTATAAGGTTGACATTTCAAGTTAGCAGTGAGATTGCATTCAAACGACAGCTTTTTGGGGACAAAAATTTAGTCAAATAAAATGTCATCCACATGTGTATGTATATAAATATGGAGTAATCCCTACTAAAGTAGCAATAGTAAGTGTGTCATTAATGAATTGGTTGGGAGCAAAGATTTTTTAAAATAAATAAATTACTGAGAAAAACTTAGGCAGTCAGAAATAAGATTTAAATTGCTATTGATGCAATATATTTAAGAGAAATATCCTTTACGTACTCATATCAACTGTTGGCTCCTTCTGCCTATACAGCGATTTAGCAAAGTGCTAAATTGCAATGAGCTATTAATCATTAAGAATTTGCATAATCGATGAGTAGTTACAGATTTTAATCATCTTTTCCTTTTCCCGCTATCATAGAGCCATTGTAAAATTTCCTTATGACAGACTATCCTTTAGTTAATTAGATTTTATTGTTCAACATTTATGAAATAGAAAATAAGACTTCTAGAAAAACATGTTTTAACAGAAACAGACTTTACTCTTGTTTCTATTTCAGTCTAATATATGCAAGTCACAAAATGCAAACATTTGCTTGCAGTTACATGGACTGAATCTTTTTGTCAAAAGGAATCTTGAACACTGATCCAAAATGATCACCCATGGTACAGGTGCTCTTTGTGCATTATTTTGGAAGGAAAATTACAGAGCTGGACCGGAGATGAAAACAAGATAGCCAGTGTGGCTTGAACAGTGAAAATTATGTTGGCCTTGTCAGGGAGTATGGGATGAATCCTATTTACAGAGAAAGAGAATAGATCCTGATCTGGAAGCACTTTAATTTTGGAGTAGCCTTAGAAAAGAAAGACCTCTACCGATTAAGAATTAGAATAGGAAACAATTAAATGGACTAAATTACTTTCCTATTTTTAGTGGCCAAAAATTAGTAACACTATAAGGCAGAAGGATATGAGAAGAAAAACTACAAATCTTCTATGATGAATAAAATTTATTTTGGTAAAAGTAGCATGGGTAGCACTGCTGTCAAATTTCTTTTACTTGGTTGGCCACACAATGTATTTTACTCGGCTGTTCTCACTATTTTCAGGGATGATCAGATCAGTTCATTCATATTTAATAGTGCATTAACAGCAGCAGAAATCTGACATTTATTATGCAGGATTTTACCAAAGCTCTTCAAACACATATTTTGCTGTAGCTGTATGCTGTTATCTCTCAGTCTGATTCGAGAAAATCTGGTGAATGTTTCCAGACTATGTTTTCATTCCTGTAAGTAGTTTACACTTTAGATTTCAGGTATACTCTAAGGAGGATTAAGTCATTTATATCACTCAGTTTAAACAAGAAAACCTGTTAGCACTTTCTGTACTCAATTACTCAACAGAGAGCTCCTGTCATTGCCTAGATTTAATAAGGTATGTTGGAGACTTCCCTCCTTTTAACTGTGAGGACGCCATTTCAGTACTCTTCATCACCTACCTTATTGAAATGATCTTCCATATATTGTTTATAATTCATGGTTAACTTAGTAAAGAGGTCAGCTGCTGTAATAGCACGTATAAAACATTTCCCTATGTCCTGTAGGGATGCAAACTTGAAGTCTATTGTAAAATATTTGTTTATAACTACAACTACAGTGTGTCAGAATAAGAGAGAGCATGATGGGCATTATAAGTGGGGTACTAGAATTTCATGACAATTAAGACAGGGACTCTTGCACTCTAGATGAAGACTAAAGGTCCTGCTCTGCTAAAATGTCTTTGTGATATCATGCTAGGTAACTAGCTTAAATTCATTAGATGTAGACAAACAAGACTTCTGAGAGATTAAAAATACTACAGCATCATAATTCCCTCTCTAATTTATTAACAGCATAACTTAATAATTTCAGGTTTTCTGGCTGTTTTCAGTGGCAAACCATCCATGAGTTATAGTAAAAATGTGATGGTAAAATATGATATATGATGATATCTGAGGTGAAGGAAGGAAGTGGCAAAATTAATATTTGTCCCCTGAACATTTCAAAACTTTATTTGAAATCTCTGTGAGTCAGACTATATATTTTTCAGAGTCTATGGAGTTAAATACAGACCCAGCAGACTTAAAAATAGAACCAGCAGACTTCCTGTCTTTAGTTATGTGAACTATGCAGCTAAGTTCTGTAACTATTTACTGAGGTCATATGAGATTAAATATTTTACAGTGTACCAAAAGTAGTGATGTTAAACCCCAGGCATTATACTTCTAAAAAAAGAATCTGTTTCCCATTTCGTTATTCAGAAAGGATTGAAAGTCAAAGATTTTTCAAGTGGCAATTTCTGCATTTCAAGATGAGAAACTGCTTTTTAGCTGTGGGAAAACTCCACCAGAGAGCTTGGTTTAAAATAATAAAGAGTTTGAATATTTTATTTTTAATCCTGAATCCTTGCTCCTAAAAGAGTTCAATTCCAAACTCCAGATAAACTTCAGTTTAGAAAATCAAGTTATGCAAAGCTATGCAAGCATGGTGTTAAAGAAAGATTTGATGACAGTTTTCTCATTGTTTTTAAAATTCTCTACAGTTTTCTTCTGAAAGTCTATATTGCAATATTTTCCTTTACGTCTAACACATTCCAGAGCACCCATTCAAATTTTAACATTTTTGCAAACGTTGACCTTCTGACATTTTTAGCTCCTTGTTTTACTTCAGTTTGACTGCGTCATGCCATTAGATGAAGTTATTTGCAAGTAAGTTGCTTTAAACATGATCTTCATTGTAGAATAACATCTATGTAGAAATTAATCTTTTCCATTTCTTTTCTCTTTGAGTTACAGAATGAGAAGTGTGATTTACTTCAGTGTTGTCTTCTACTGTGGTTATCATGACGTTAAGTTCACCAAAGAAGTGCATCTCTTTAGTGTTGCTTAATGCTATTTGTTTTTCTTCTACAGAGAGCAGGGGACACAGTCAGTGGAGATACTGAAAGGTAATTTCTTCTGTTATTTATGTATTTAAATAGATATAATTTATCTATGAATTACATGTACTTATTAATTCATAGAAACTCAGTTGCAATATTTGAGGAATAAATTTTCCAGCTTTAGTGAGAAAAGCATCAATATCTCTGAGCAAACATCATAATTCTTTCACCTCCTAACTTAAAATATGAAGATAAATTACACAGGTTGAATTTGCTTTACTTAAATGCTTTGCATGCAAAATTATTAAAAATTAAGAGGTGGAAAAAATGGTGCCGGTACGAAGTATGAGACTTCGCCTCTCAGTATTTAAAAAAATAATAATAATAATTTTTTTTTTCCAGAATGACTCTGAGGATGAAAACTCAAATGTGTGTCTAATGTAATTTTTGAAAAGAGCAAGCAGAATTTTCTAATTAGCATATAATTCAGTATGCACAAAAGTAACTGTTTATAACTGTATTAAATTTGATAAATTCTAAGAATGAGGACTGCTGTTTCTCTTACATTTGAATTTAATGAACTAATTCTAATGAATACTATTGTCATTTCTGTCTTCATTTCCTTCACATTTTATTTGATGATGTACCAGATACTTTAGTTTCATCAAATATGTCGTATTAAAAGATAAAGTTTATATTATGACTATCATAGAATGCTGTAAATAAGGCTTGTTGCAGTGTGTACATGTGGATAATTATTTTTTTTTAAAATCTTTTCATCCTGTGTATGACCTAAACTTGTTAATGAAGTAAAACCCTGCTCTGAATACAAAATAATTAATTCCTTTACAGTGCTTCCATCAAGTATTTAAAACTGGCAATCTTCCTCAATGCTATACGTTTCACTACATTATAGCTGGTATCCCGAGGTACAACAAGGATAGTTGTTCTCACTGTACATATGCCAATTATTTCAGAATTGTCAGCATACCTAATTACTCTGAAAGGACTGCACATGCTCAATGTGTCAGAGCATCCTTGGTAGACAGGACATAAAGGTCTACTAGACTTCTACCATATTTTCCATGAACATTTGGTTTAGGAAACTTTTGGAAATCTATTATGGCCCCAGACAAATTAATTTCTTTTATAGAGTGATTTTCCCTTTCTAATCCTTCTCCCATGGATTTTAAGTTTCAAGTCCAAAATGTGACTGTTTCATATCTCTCAAAAATTTGAAAAATATTTTTAAGTGGCAGAATGATAGATGGGATCTGTCAGATAATTTTTATCCCACATATTAAAGTTTCGTTGGACAGGGAAAAGAGTTTCATATATTTGAATGAAGCTGCCTTGACTGTACAGTTGCTTCTGTTAGTTAGTTATGTGGTATGATCATTTTCACTTAAATTAAAAAAAAAAAAAAAAGAAGGAAAAAAAAAAGAAAAAAAAGGGCCAAAAAGATGCTTCTTACAGGTAATAAAAATACAGCATACTGAAGGAAGTGGTTGCAAAAAACATTAGTCAAAACCACACACTAGCCAAATGCCAAAAACAGATGTGTGTGAAATACGCAACTACAGAATCTTGCTTACAAAATTCTTAAGATGAGTAGAATGCAAAGCAGATCTAGTAAGGATTTTCAGGCTTGAGCAGAGGAAAAGAGAGACATTTGTACATTACAACTGTTTGTTATTGTTTCAGGGCTGAGAAAGCAGTAATAATACATAATAATAATAATAATAATAATACATCTAACCTGTAATTGCTTCTCCAGCTGTTCTTCAAAACACCTATTTGCCCTTCTTAATTTTTATAATTTTAATATAGGAAAAACAAATCTAAGTAATAGGAAGCTTTGGTATCTGTAGATTGATGTGCTTCTGCAACACAGCCATGACACAGAATCATAAAATGCTTTAAGTTGGAAGAGACCTTTAAGATCATCTAGTTCCAACCCCCCTGCTATGGGAAGAAACACCTCCCACTAGATGATGTTGCTTAAAAGACCACATTGCTCAAAGATCAGGTTCCTCAAAGAGACATCATTACAGAGTTTTGAAGATCTTGCTAACCTTCTAACCATGCAGGCCTGCAAGGCAGAGAAGGCCAAAAAGGATCGTATCATTCACTCATTGTCCAGCAGCTAGTTGAATAACCAGTTTTTAACACTACTGCTTATGACTACTTGCAATTTGTTTATACTTGGAAATATGGCTCAGGTTCTTTTCCACAAAGTGTTTTGTATTTTTAAATATTAATACTTAAAATTGTTTCTGTCATATCCTCAGTGGCTTTGACGTATTTTGGAAATGGTTTGTTTTATTTATTAATCCTGGAGAGAGAAAAAGAGACAAATTTTTGTCTGGATGTTGTTTTGCCAACTTGCATGCTCCTATACTGCAGTCCACATCAAGTAATAGCCTGCAGCATCATTTTGGACCAGTATCTGAGCTAGTGTAGAATGTGAGATAGTGTAGAATGTAGGGATTTCAAATCTCACTGCAAAATACTCAGTAATTAATTTTCAATGAACATTTGCTCATTGTGGCATTAATGGAATGCATTAAGATATGGAGATTTTAATAACTTAACTAGAAATCATGAATTCATTCAAAGCAGTCAAAGACAGGTTTCTGTGACCGCATAAGTAGATCCTGGTTGCTACATGAATGTTCTTCTGAACCTACAATAAGGAAATGACACATAAGATACAGTACATTTCTGCACAAATGTATTTTCTTATGCACTTCTTTTAAATTTGTGCAATTACAGTGGCAAGGAATTTAACTAATCTATTTTAAAAGAATGTTCTTGGTACTTTAGAATAAATAATGCATCAGTGATAGATGCATTAGGGCAGAAATCAGGTCCCTCAGGCAGTATAACTGCTCAGTGTTGAAGCTGAGAATTTTGAAGCATTGTCAGAATGACATTTTAAATAGAAAAGTATTTTTTTTCTGAGTCGTGTCAAATCTCTGAGGAGTTTTGAATGGTATAAGGCCATATTTGTGGTTACTGAAAGGAACAGATGTAGTTTTAAAAATATATATTTTTTGAAAAAACAAAATTGTACGCCACATAAATATCATAAGGAAAAATAAAAGAAAACAAAAGTGGACTTGAAAAAAAAAAAGAATATTCAATGACCTTTCCTTTTCCTGAAGTTATTTTTGTTGGCTTTAATCTTGAGCTGCAACCAGGATGTACTTGAAGCAATTTGGAATGTGAGATGAAAGTTGAAGCGACTTTTCCATGTTGCTTACATTTATAATTTTATTTCCCAATATACGCCAATTGAAAAAGAACAGGGTGACAGATATGCCATTTTCTAGTTGCTCTTAGCTCTGGATCAATGAAGGTGTTACTCAAGCATTGTGTTTTGAATATCCATGTATTTCTAGATATCCACTCGATAGCAGGGATTATGTTCAGATGTAGTGCATAATATTTAACCACCAACTTCAAAATTCTCTCTTGACTCTTCTGTTAAGTAAACTTGAGATCCTGTGTTTATGTAATCTTTTGAAAGAGGAGCCATCTTGTAGAGCATCAGCAACAGAAGCTCTCAACATAGTCTGTGTGTTGACTGTGCATCAATAGGGACATTCCTGGCAGGTCTCCAGTCAGAATGATCAGAGGATATTAAATCACAGCAGTAGTAAAATGCACTACTTAACAGTTAATATCCATTTTTTTCTGTTTCGGAAGTAAGCTCTGGTGAATGGCCATGTTTTGTTTTTGTTTTTTTTTAACATACTGGAATCTTTTACTCATTAGGAAATCTTTACAGATTTGGATAGTCAGAATATAAGACAGATTGCTTTGTGTAGTTAAAAAATAAATACAAATAAAGAAATGAGTAGTGTATAAAATGATTTTCAGAACAATGGAAAATATATATTAGCAGTTTGTTATAACTAGAATCATTTTATATTGCTTCTAGTTTATAATTCTATCCATTACTGCCAGAACCCCCTTAATCAGGGGTTTAAGAAAGTCAACAGTATAGATTGTAACTATTCCAGATACCGAAGACTAAGTGAAAGGTAAGTAAACTTCAAAAAAATTATTCTTTTTTCTTGACTATATTCACTGTCATCATTTTAATATTTATTGTCCTATTACCTGTGGAGAAACCCAAATGATAGGAATCTAGTAAGATATACCAATTTGCTCTGATAGTTTTAACTCGTGTAATGATGGATGTAGTGACTCTCAAGATATCCTATGAATGCTACGTGCTAGAACACTCTTCCTTTCTAAAGTTTTGTGTGATATTTGAAGATCCATTGCTTCTATCTTTATATGTTAAAAAATGAAAACATGTTCCTGGAAAGGAAAAGAGGAATGTGGAGATGGTGTTCATAGTTGCACTTGTTTAATGGTGCTTAATAAATGAAGAACCATGTGACTTTTATTCACTAAAAAAGACTTTTTTGTATGAATAGAAAATGCAGGCTACTCATAAATCCAGCAATGCTCTTAAAAGGCTATCACTGCTCTGACAGCAAAAATGCAGAATTATAGCTCTGTTCTGTTGTCTTTCCACATTTTGTGCTCAATAGGTGACAATTCTCAGCATTCAATAAAAATACCTCAGGTATAATGGTACACTCAGATTCTTGCAGCTTTTATCGAATACGTAAGGCTGGAATATAGCCCTTCTGCTATCCCTCGTACTTCTGATTTTACCATTCTAATTCATTATTGCTATTTTCTAATCATATAGTACTGTTCTTCATTTGAAATCCTCATTAGAAACCTTAGCAATTGATTGCACATTCATTTGCATATCTTTTAAGATGTGAGTTGGAAGCCACCAAACTTACTCGAATCTTTTAAATTCTGTTGTGCTGCCACCTGTGTCACAGACATTCCCATTTTTTTCTTAGCTTGTTCCTAACCTTTCTACTTTAACTCTGTGTTCAGCATAGTGGATATTGAATACTGAGTCAGTATGCATGCAATACTGAGATTGGAGATAGATTTAGTGCTGACCTGTGCTTATTGCTTTTTACCTTTATTTTACATTTCTTAACTTTTTATACTTGTTTCAGTGTGCTTACAATGTGTGGGTAGGAGGGAGAAAATCTTTTTATCCATAGAAGTTCCAGTATATGAGACAAAGCTAGGTAGAATATATAAAAACTCAGTTAATTTTTTACATTTCTATCAAACAGAAATCTCAGAAATCCATTTGAAGAAAAATGCATGAGAATAATCATTTTAGAATGAGTTTAACAACAAAATTAAACTTCATTTAATTTTTTTCAAAGTTTATTTGCTTGTACATTGCCTTTTTTGTATGTCATTATGCAATTATTGATTTTGCAAATATCTTGTAATAATTTATGTAAGTTGCTTCAGAAGCAATGCCTCCTATTTGTTACCATATAAACCACGACAGATACAAACACCACAACAGCACTACTGATAGAGCAAATTCTCAGCTACAAAATGCTGTTTTTCAACATAGTCATCATCAGTATCTGCCCATTTTTGTCAGTAACGAGAGCCTACATGCTGCAATGGTGACCGCTGTTTCTGTTGCCACTAATGAAGCACCACCCACCTCCTCACCGTGCTCACATCCACTGTTTGGTCTCCAGAAACATCCAGCAAGTGTCAGTGAACATAATTCTTTCTGCATGGAGGAATTCAATCCCACCCCTTTGCTTCTCAGGCATATTCATGTGAGATCTGCTCTGTCAGTCTGCCCCTCTGTTGCCAGCTGTCACATGGCAACAAAATACAGTGGGATATTGGTGGGAAGGTTCAGCCTCTACTGCCATGCCACCAAAATCAGCCTGTAATGTTGTGGGCCAATATAATAAAATGAGAGGCATTAATTTCAGAGCAGCCCTGGTATTTAATTTGTTCTTTTGCTATGTTTGTGTAAGTTAATCATAACAGATTGGTTTTTCAAGTTTCTGGTTTATATCAAAACCAGTATTAAACATAGCCATGAAAACAAGCATTCATAAGAGAACTATTTGGCCTGGCCATCATAACGATATCATTCCATTTGGCTTTCTCTCTCTCTTTATTCTTCTCTCTTTCACTTCTGTAACAACTGTTTTCCTTAAAAGAAAGGAAACCAACCATATGGTACAGATACAACCAACCAAACATGGTACAGATAAAGTGAAAAAAGTAGATGACATGCTAGGGTTCCTTTATGTCTAAATTAATTGGTTCTGCCAGTTCCACATAGCGAATTTACTTGTCTGAAGAGAAGAAAAGGTCAGCATTTCTTCTTCTGTTATCTGTGGATCTGAATATTTGAGGAATAATTTAAATTTGTGAAGAGTTTTAATGCATATAAAACCTTCTAAAAAAACCCTGCAAGACTGCAAAACTGTTTCCAAATAAAATTTACACTCATTGTACATTAGAATATGTATTCCTGACCTTTCAGTATATGTTAACTTTTGAAGAGCTTTCAGAAACCTGATTGCAGATAATTTCTATAACTACAAGATTGTTGCTGGTAAGTAGAGTCTATGATCACTGCAAGGAAACGCATTACAGTGTTTGCATGGAAGCAAATAAAACTTGACTAAGGACTTTTCAGATAAAAAGGCAGATGCATTGATCATATTGTGTACTGGCTGAGAGAAAGAATAGAAGCATTGAAACTGACACTTTCCAGATGGGTCAAAGCCACGATTAAAGTAACAGACCAGAAAGCAGGGGGGAATGCCCAGCAGGATGGAAGTGCATTTATGGCATTCTCATAGGTAGACAGAAATGGAGCATTAATGACAAAATCTGCCTTGCAGCGGTTTGGACTTCTGCCCATTCCTTTACCAAATGTTATAAGTTTAACCTCTCTGTTTTTCAGTTGTTTCTTTCAATCCTTGTAATCTACAGGCAGCTCAGAGCTT